ATGAATCATATGGTGAAAAACTGACTTTGAAAAATAAATCTGTTCTTTTTTCCCTATAAAAGGCTAAATAAAACAAAAATATTGGTGGTAACTTTTGACTGTGTAACTTTACAAACGACACCCCATACATGTCAGCTAGTTTGTTGGTTGATTCAGGTTGGGTTTGTAGCTTGTGTTTACACTTTGAATGATCTGTCACCTACAATAACACATTTCTGTCTCTTCCTTCATGCAGGTGACCATATCTTTAGCCTTGAGCATTGTAACCATACTGGGGGCATGTTGGACTCTCCTCCACCTCCTGGGAGACCTCCACATGACTTCAGACATGTACGACTACGAATTCAGCTACAATGAAACAAGCACAGACACACAGTGGGCCTCATATTATAATGTAACTATAATGTTTATTCTATGATCTGTGGTGTTTCTGATCTCACATCTAATGCAGTTTTAGGTTATTTTGTCAATCTACACAAACATAATTTAGATTGTACCTTTAAGTTTGGCATCAAATATGAATGTTTAAGCTCTGTTTGTTTTATGTGACTTTGGGAAACTTGAAAATTAAACTATTCTTTTGAAAAGCTGTTGAGATTGAATTCCTTAAATTGAGTTAATGTTAGGTTTGATTACATGCTGGCATGTGTTTCTAAGTGTGGACTGTTTGTGTTTGCTCAGGCGCTGGGTGTGACCATAGAATCCATCTTCCTGATCCACAGTTTAGTCGGTGCAATTATTTTTATCGTCATGTCGGTGTTTGCAGGAGCTGCGCTGCGCTCCACAAACTCTCAGGTAAAATCATGCAGAGATGTTCCGGTGAAAGACAATATATTTATTAAACACAACGTTCCCACAATCATACCGGCTAAGCAATGTTTGTTTCTTCTCTTCAGGCTGTTGTAATGATAAATATGACAGCAACCGAATCACCAGCTGAATGACGAGCGCAAGAAGAGGATCTAAAATTAAACTGTAAGAAAAAAAAACTTGTGTCATTTTGAGATTTCTTCACCTGAACCAGTTTTCTGCTTTGTGGTTGTGAACAATGGTGCACAACGAATGCAACTACAGTTTAAGTGTACAGTTGGTGTTTCTGGACTCATTTAAGCTCTTAACCATTTTCATGTCTGCACTCAGAATCAAACAAAACTACTAACGTTCCTCACAGCACATGTAGTTAACTGCTCTGCAGTCTGAAGTTAAACAACCTTTGTCCTTTTTATGTTTGCACTACGTTTAAAGCAGCCCCATTGTAGAAAACAGTGACACTGGCTCTTTATAAAGTGAACAGGAATCATAAGCATTTTACTTCATTGTTAACCAGTAGTAACAACATTTGTAGTTCACAGATATTATGCAGACATGTATTTGTTGTTGTTGCTGCTATTCCTTGTATTTTAAATTTTTGATTAAAAACAATTGCAAAAAAATTGCTGTATTCTATGATTTTTTGTAATAAAATAAATAAATATCCCAAATATTCAAGTGAGATAAAAATGAAAAAAAAACCTGATTTGAAAAAAAAAGTAAAAAGAAAGAATACTATATGTTTAATTACTGTTTTTGTTGCTCTTTGTGAGTTTAAAACCCTAACTTGTGATCTTGTGCTGATTATTACTTTTGGAAGTTACAAACATGTAGAGGTTCATTATTTGGGTGGACAATATGACTGATAATAAAATCCGACTTATGTTTATGGGGGAACTGAACAAGCAAAGACCGCTTTTTCATTTTTATTTTATTTTATTTTTTTAAACACAACTAGTGACTAGAGGTGACAAACTTAAACTATTCTCAAGAGACTCACAGTGTACACACAGTGACATTAGTGAAATTTAGGGATTTTTTATGGTCCTATTTCTGTTTTGCACCTTATTGTTTTAACAAAATGCTTTAACCATCACTCCTCATTTTTGTGTATTTGGAGCCAATCAAATGAAATATTCTATATTATGTGAAGACGTCAATTGCTACTGATGTTACAGTAACATTACCTCACTGTAAAAAACCTGGGTTTACAGTGGTTTGCAAAAGTATTCATACCCCTTGAACTTTTCCATATTTTGTCACATTACAACCACAAACATAAATATATTTCACTGG